ATTCCTAGGCTTGGAGTTGCCACTCTCAGTGCTAAATGAGTCCGTAAGGCAGAAAGTTGCTATCTTGGATGCCTTATTGGGTTCATGCATGAGTTAAGATCACTTTTATGAAAATAGAATATATATATATATATATATATATTATATATATATATATATATATATATATATATATATAAAATGAAGAAGTAGTCGTTCCAACCATCCATTGGTCAAAATCAATTTCCCAAACTCGGCATTTGGTCGCCGAATTGCCGAGTCGAGCTCAACATGCCGAGAATTCGATCCGGTGTGCACTGAGCTCGTCGACCATGTTGTCGAATCCACACCATGTAGCCTAAGTGTAGTGGGCATAACCATGTTTTGTGCACATTTTGGGTATTGAGCCAATCAAATATATTGGATCTAATTATTGTAGTTGGCTTGTTTATTGTTTGAGAATTTATAATGTAATTGATTTATACAAGTGTTAGCTTATTTTACACTCTTATAATGTTATACTTATGTATGGTGTTAGGTCTATTTAAGTAAAAGACCTTAGGTTGCGTTTAGTTACGGAAAAATAATTTTCATTTAAGTAAAAGACTTTAGGTCCATTTAAGTCAAAATGAAGTAAAAAACCGGGTTCGACCCCAGCCAGGGACTCTGCCCCTTGGATCCCGCCAGGGGCTGCCGCCCCTTGGACTCTACTCCCAGGGGCACTGCCCCCGAACCCCCGTGTGCACTCCACACCTTCCTTACTTGTTTAATATGTATCAAGATTGATTTTGGTCAACAAGTCAAACCATTACACTTATATACACATTGATGATACAAAATCGGGAAAACTGCAATAAAGCCCCTACATATTGGCCTCATAATCAATTTAGTCCCTATATTTTTTTTTTCAATTAAGTCCCAAATACCGGTAATCGTATTCAATTTAACCCTTTGAACCTGTCAACATGTTATCCAAATTTCAAAAATTACATTTTTGGCCCAGATTTCAAAATTTATTACAAATTTGGTCCAAAATTTACACTTTTGGCCCAGATTTTAAAATTTGTTACAAATTTGGTCCAAACTTTACCCTTTTTGCCCAAATTTTAGAATTTTATTATGAATTCATCCTAACTTTAGTTTTTTTTTACAACTTTTTTTCTCAAAAAATTGTTTCTAATATGTTTTTTCTTTATAAAATCATATTAATACAAAAAAAAACGTATTTTCACATAAAAATCTTATATTTTCTATATAAAAACTTTTTTTAAAAAGTTTTTTGTATATGAAATATTTAGTTATAAAAATGTGTATTTATTAAGTATATAAATATATACAAATCCGTTTTTAGAAAAAAATGTATACAAAAACGTATTTTACAAAAAAAATGTATACAAACACCTATCACCTTTATATATATATATATATATATATATATATATATATATATATATATATATATATATATATATATATATTTGTTGAAGTGAGCACAACTCCAAAATTTTATAAAGGAATGAGTTCTATAAAACATCATATAATAGACTATAAGGTTTGATTTATATTCCTCAAAAACTTATAGTAGCAGTATATATAGGGACAATTCTTTGAGGAAAAAAATTGTAAAAAAAGCTAAAGTTAGGATGAATTCATAATAAAATTCTACAATTTGGGCAAAAATAATAAAGTTTGGACCAAATTTATAACAAAATTTTAAATCTGGGCCAAAAGTGTAAATTTTGGACTAAATTTGTAATAAATTTTGAAATCTGGGCCAAAAATGTAATTCTGAAAGTTGAATGACCTGTTGACCGGGTCAAAAGGTTAAATTGAATACGATTACCGACATTTGAGACTTAATTGAATAAAAAAAATATAGGGACTAAATCGATTATGAGGCCAATATGTAGGGACTTTATTGCAGTTTTCCCTACAAAATCACCAATAGTTTGTCAACTTCTATGGGCACTAAAAAAAACGTATTAGTCTTAACTCTTAAGAGTGAGAACCGAGAACCATCGAAAAAGTAATATCGCGAATTTGCAAGAACTTTTAGCAAAAAATACAATCATATTGAAATATCTTTAAACGGATTATATGGTCTCAACATGGTTATTTTAGCGAATGATTTTTCAATGATTAAAGGAACACAATATGATATCAAAAACCATAAATGAATCATAATCTTCTAGATACTATTTTAAAACAATCATTTTTTTTATTAAACTAAAAGTTATAACATACCAAGACAACGTGTTACAACCTAATTACATGAAATCCAACTAACAAATGAACCAACAACTACAAGACTATTACCTTAATCTCCCCCCTCCGATAAAGATTGTTTATTTGTTTTCTATTCCTAATAATGGTTCAGGACCAGGAATAAGAAAATCAATGTTTTTTGGACTGATTAGTTGCAAAACCCTGTTAATTATATTTTATTGTAATTATTTTGGCAGCTCTTTGTTTGTTGGTTCCAATAAATTATTTCAGTTGTTCAAAATATAAAAAAGCTACAAGACTATTACCTAATTGACGCATCCTTCAAACTAAAAACATGATTTGATACCATGAATAAACAGGACCATAACCAAATAAATTTGGAAAAGGACTATAATAAAACAAAACACAAATTAACCCAAACAAAACCATATGAGTCTCAACACGAAACTGTTGGCAACACCGTTATATTGTTGTCATAGGATTGCCTCTTCATCAAAACCTTTATTATTATTTTTTAGAAGCAGAAAACCATATATTAAAAAAAAATAATAAATAAAATAAATAAAATTAAAAAACCTTTATTTGATACCATGAATAAACAGGACCATAACTAAATATCATGGGGTTTTGTAGCCAATTAACCCAAAGTAAAGAGCATTTTCTATTCCTATTAGAATACCATAGAAAAGATTATTCTCTAACGGAATCAATATTCTCATTTTCTCTCATTTTTCCGGATGCAACAACCTTATTATTTTTGAACCTCCATATATACCCAGATACACAAAATCACGTCGAACACATTCTTATTTTTCGAGTTTAGAGACAAATTATCAACTTTGGCAAACAATTCATGAATCGAATCAAAACTTATCATGATTGCGTTCCAAGTTCTAGTTGCACTTCACATTTCACAAACAAATGATCAAAACCTTTATTATTTATCTAGTCTAATAAGCGACCATTCGGGTTTTTCTGAACCGTTGAATTTTATAAAGATACCATTTTGGAACCACGGAAGATTTCATCAAACAACTAACAAGGGGCTACCAAAATCAACAAACAACTATATATATGAGTAGCCATTATAGGGTTTGTAACCATGCCACCTAATTCACTTTAATTTTACTGTTTCTATACATAAACCAATTAAATGAATACGAAACAATCTTTTCAAAATTGGATTGTTATGAAACTTATTTGGATCAAACGCCATGCATTATGATACAACCAAAAAATCCAAATCCACTATTATAACTATTATAATAAATAAGTACTAAATCGCCACGTGTCACTCTCCCAGCCCCCTAAATCAAGTTTTCCCGCTTCTTTTATTCAACTGAATTTACGTCAATGCCCTTCAATTCCTATACATGCAATAAATATATATAAATATGCAAATAATATGCAAAAATCGGTAATTCAAATTTCAAATACGTGATATCCGATAAAATACGGAAGTTCGTTTTTTGAAATTGGAAATTGATTAATTTCCAGTGATTAAATCCCAAAAAATTTGCACCAAATAAATGCATATCGAAATATATACCACTATACCATCTATACGCTTTTGTATCTACGATTTTGCTTCTGAGATTTCTTTGCAAACAGTATTCTTCTTCAATTCTTCTTCACTATACATTCTCAGTTTTATCTCTTTTAACATAAGTTATTCAATAAATCAAGTTGCTAACATAAATTATTCATTAAATCAAGTTGCTAACATAAGTTCTTCAATCCTTCCTGTCGGTACCAGGATTAATTTCCTTGATTTTGTGATCGTTTCCTGCATAATCATCCTCGACGACACCAATAACTACACAAGGTTAGAAATCTGAATTCCTGCGCAGTCTTTCTTTTACAGCGCAATCTGAATTCATGCATTTGTACAATGTCGATAATTGGATATATTTTTCAGAGTTTTCATGTTTATGTTCTTACTTCTTCCTTTTTGAGAACTCTACATAGTTAATCTTATATTGTTTCCTTTTAACTAAATTTCAATTGATCGTTTTTAAGGTTGTTTCTAATTTAAAACTACATGGTTGCTTTATATCTATTTTGCAAGTCTAATTAACCATATGTGGCAAAAGATCACCCTCAACAGATAACATTATATAATAATGGTATCTGTAGGGACCAATTATGTAATGTTTCAACGAATTTGAGTTTTTTTAGATTAAAAAAATGTGCTATATGCCGTATCATATTTACAGAAAAATATTAAATGGCAGATTAAATTTATATAACAGATAATATTATATAATATTTATATGTAACTGTTTAATTACTTATTGTTATCTTATTGGGCAATTTGTTTACAAAAATGACAATTTGTTTAAATAATGTTATCTGTAGGGACCAATTCTGTAACATTTCAACGAATTTTAGTTTTTTTCAGATTAAAAAAATATGCTATATGCCATATCATTTTTTTCAGAAAAATATTAAATCGCAGATTAAATTTCAGATTTTTATTTTTCATTCTGTACATTAGGTGATTGTATTTTTTTAGATACTTTTATTTATGCTAAATATACTAAATCCCAGATTAAATTTCAGATTTTTATTTTTCATTCTGTACATTAGGTGATTGTATTTTTTAGATAATTTTATTTATGCTAAACATGTTGGACATTGACCATTTTACTATGTATTATTTTTCATTCTGCTATTTGCTTACATTTCAATATGCTTTCAATTGTTTGCAGGAAATGAATATTGGTAATAAAGTTTACCTAAAAAACACTGAACAAATTGATGATGATTCACATATAAAAGTGCGGGTGCTGAAAATGTGGAACTTTATCAAGAATAATACGGTTTTATCAATTGAAATGATCGTGATGAATGAGGAGGTTTGTTGTATTTGTTATCTTTTTAATACCCCATTCAATATTACATATGTTTTAACCAATAAAATACTTGTTATTTATTTGATTTAACAGGGTACAAAATACCATTCTCGTGTTTTCAATCATAATTTTTCCAGATTTGATGATCTTTTAAAGGAAGATCAAACTTATATCATTTTAAAACCCAATATGGCGGCTGTGAATAATGGTTTTAGTGCTACGGGTCATAAACAAACCACAACTTTGAATTGGAAAAGTATTCTAAAGAAATGTGATGATTTTTCAGGACCGGTGAATGGATTTATGTTTGTTGATTTTAATTCTATTATCGAACAAACATGCCCAAGCGACGCATTCTTTGGTTAGTTATTAAATTTTATTCCAATCACTTTTATAACTTGTGTAATTTATTATACATTTTAGTATTTGATTATTTTAATATTTAACTTAATCTTACTTATTATATTTTATTATACTTGTGTAGATGTTTTTTTTGGAAAGGGAACTTCCCTAACGAGGGCTTTCGGGCCAGCTTTCGCGCACCTACTAATCCCCCGCTGCAAACATGAAGCTTTGCCTCATGCCCTGGAGTCACTGCAGGCGAACCTCCATGCCCACAAGGGCTGAGTGTGTAGATGTTATTGGATAAATTGTCTCATTTCGGGCACTTGAAACATCAAATCCTAACCCATCCAAGCATTACATAAAGATGACTATTAGCAACCTACAATGAGCTTATATTTCTTTTATTTCTTTATTATTTTTAATCACAATTTATTCGTAATAACTAATTTAATTTTTTATTTAGGTTTGTACATCTGAAGGTCATTATATTTGAAACTCAAGCATACCAGATGTCACAATACCTTAAAACTAACCCCACGATCACTTGTGTTGTTATAGTGATGCAGTTTGTAAAACTTAACATTTGAGATGGTTTGTATTCACACTTTATATATATATTTAATTTATTTTTATTGACTAATTTATTTTTACAGGAATTGGTCAAGTAAAAAGTTATTTTGATGTAACCAAGCTTGATGCATTCATTAAAGACTTAAGGGAGAATCACATTTTCGGCAAAGTTCAAGCATGTAATTCAAACTATATTTTTTCATTATTTATAAAACATTACTCTTATTATTCTATTTTTTTATATGTTTTTACAATCTAATCATATTTTCTTTTTTTTGCAAATTATTTTACAGATGTTTATACCATTGAATTTCAAAAGAGAGGTTCGCCGCATAGTCATATATGTCTATTTATGCATTCTGACAACAAGCTACCAACTGTTGAAATTATCGATCTGATAATTTCCGCCGAGATACCAGACAGAATTGAAGAACCAGAATTGTATTCACTTGTGAATGAGTTTATGATTCATGGTCCACGTGGAGCTGAAAATATCAATTGTCCATGCATGGTGGATAAAAAGTGCTCTAAAAACTTTCCAAAACAATTCTATAATCATTCTTCTGTTGATCAAAATGGTTTTCCGTAATATAGGTGAAGAAACGATGGTCATTATGTAGAAAAATCGGGTGTCAAGTTGGATAATAGAAATGTTGTTCCATACAACAAATATCTATTGAAAAGATATCAGACACATATTAATGTTGAATTATGCAATCAGGGATCTTCTATAAAGTATTTGTTTTTTACATAAACAAGGGTCCTGATAGAGCGACAATTGCTGATGTACGAGCCAACAATGAATGTGAAAATAATGATGTGGTCGATGAAATAGCTGAATATTATGATTGTAGATATTTATCAGCATGTGAAGCATCATGACAAATTTTTAAATATGATGTTCATTGCAGGTTTCCTTCTGTGGTCAGACTACCTTTTCATCTTACTAATCAACATCATATTGTATATGGCGAAGACGATGATATTGACGATGTTCTGGACAAACCTTCTGTTGCTGCTTCAAAGTTCACATTTTGGATGGAGTGTAATGCAATTGATAGCGAAGCACGAGAACTTACATATGTTGAATTTTCTACAAAGTTTGTTTGGATATTAAATGGTCGGTTTTGGAAGCGAAGGAAAGTAGGAAAAGCCATTGGTAGAATTCATTCGGTTTCACCTAATCTTAGTGAAGCATATTTCTTAAGGATTCTTTTAAATAAAGTTAAAGGTCCGACATCATTTGATGAAATTCGCACGGTAAATTGTGAAGCACATTCTTCTTTTAGAGATGCTTGTTATGCACTCGGCCTATTAGATGATGACAAGGAATACATCGATGCAATTAAAGAAGCAAGCCATTCTGGATCTGGTTTTTATCTACGCTTCTTATTTGCTACATTGTTGATGTGTAATAGTATGTCTAAACCAGAGGTCGTTTGGGAAAATACATGGGAATATTTGGTCGTATGTTTTGCGATGACTATTAATAAAAGTCAAGGACAATCGTTATCAAAGGTTGGTTTGTTTCTCAAAGATCTTGTTTTTTTCACATGAGCAATTGTATGTTGCCTTATCTAGAGTTTAAAGCAGAGAGAGATTAAAATTATTAATTATAGATAAAGATGGTAGACCCACAAATAAAACTTCCAATGTTGTTTATAAGGAAGTTTTTCTCAATTTATAACCGACTTTTTTGTAGCATCTTTTAGTCATTTTTAGCAAATCACACTTAATCCATCATATTACTTTATTTATTTATAATTACGTATTGTATTTTTTTATGTTAATTTCATTACACACATGGGTAAGGCATCATCTCCGTATGTTCAAAGATAATCATACACCAAAAATCAAGGTTTTATAAATCTCCATTTGTAATTAAATACTTACAATTTACTGTATAATTAAACACGTACAAATCACAAAGTTATTAAAATATGCAATATTACAATTCATAATTTTTCTAAATTAATGAAATATTATTTTATTACATAATTAATTTTTAAATTCAATTTAAAACTAACATCCGTGAGTTCCACGGGTTTTAACCTAGTAGTCGTCATAAAATAGCCTCAAATCCAAAAAACTGTCATGAAAAAATGTCCATAATTGAAGCAGATCACGTAAAGGAAAGATCCACCCATCCCTTAACAGAAAACCAAACTCGATCAACCACATCACAAGCATAAATGATACGATGCACCTCCTCGATTTGTTTTTCACGACATGTGCACAAAACATATTTCCAGAAAAAGGTTTTTGACCCATCACATACTTTTTTTAAAAGATGAGAGTTGAGAATTATATTGTTGACGGGTAAATGGTTAATCGATCCAACAATTCGATACCAAATTCTATGAGACTTTGGCCTCATAGCACTCGGGCCCAAACAACCAACATGAATAACCTTAATAACATTAACCCATTTGGAGCTAGAGTCGTTGACAAACCTCCAACTCTACCTTTGTAATAACGTCTTAGTGGCTAGGAGGGGTAATGGCATCGTTCAAGACGTTTCTATGTATTAACTAAAATGGTGTACCATCTTTAATGGAGCATGTTCTCAACAGTAATACCTTAAAACATTAGTTTAGGAAAACACCAAAACCAAAACAAAAAGGAAACGGTTTGTGTACCCGATCTAACTCGACCCAAAATCCAGATCATATTAACCATACTCAAGTTATCCGTTTTGACAGGTCCAAAACCTAACTGACACGTTTATTCAACCACCTCTAATATTTATCATATTTATTAAAAAAAAATATATATGAAATAAATAAGAGGGTGGGGTGGGTAGAGGTTAGGGTTTTGGGTCCCAAATCCGACCCAAGGACAAGGGGATCGGGTGTAGAAGCAACAAGCCAGTCGAGCATTCCAAACTTTGAATCTATTAAACGAAAGTGTCGGTTCCATTGGGTTCACATGTATTGTTACATTAATTCATAACTCATAAACAACACAATAACAATAAACTAAAAACCCGTTTAAAAAAAAACAATTGATGCTGGATATCGACTGTCACATGTATTATTTTATTTAATCGTTTTCATGCCACTGGACATACTATGCCTAAAAATACATGATAGTCATTTCAATATCCTAGACATTTTATTTGGATATTGATTTTTTGAAAAGGTCAAGGGAAATGGATTTCTAATGCGTACTTGTACTTTTTTTTTGTTGTACAAATAAATACTTTAAATTTATTATAAGGTTATAATGAATTATTTGTTTTGAAATTAATACTTTACGTTATTATAAGGTTATAATTAATTATTTGTTTTCTCATAAGACATTGATTTTTTTTAGACAAAATTTCACAAATGGTTCATTTGGTTTTCGTAAAATGACACTTTCAAATATCTTTGGAAAGCGTTACAGCGACGGTCCTCGTTAATTCGTTTTGTTAGATTGTTGGCACTCCGGTTGTTAAATTTAACTTTTAGCTCATTAGTTTTTTTTTTTAATGACAATCTACCCTTAGACCAAATATTAAAAAATTAAATATACTATCTTCATATCAAAATCCAAACCCTTTATTAACCTCACACATAGCCTCCCAAGTCTCACATTGTGATTCCACCCCCCTCTATTGTCTCATGTATACATGTGGTGCCTTACACCACAACCTAGCTACCGGCGGCACCCCTCCTTCACCACCACCTCATCCGCCTCCCACACACCCACCAACATCTCCGTCCAGTTAAAGGCAACTAATTGTTCCTTTTTTACTTTCACTTCTTCACATCAAATGTGAAATCTCCTCCAAGAAAACCCAACAAAATACTTATGGATGAAAACCAGGGCTTTTTCTTGTTCTTTAAGGTGGGAGTGCCGTTGTTGGAGACGATTTTGTTTCTGCTTCCATAACACAGTTAAGAGCAACCACATGTTGGGTATTTCGATAGTTAAGAGCAACCATATATTGGGTATTTCATATAGTGATAAATTTAATAGTATGAACTCGTTGAGATATAATTATGAGTTTGATAGTTTTCTAAGTTTGAACACATAGATGTGTTATGGGCGATATATGATCGACTCCCAATTGAGGGGTCGAGGGTTTTTACACTTTCTTTGTAATACGTATCCATCTGAAAGTGACGGTGGTGACAAAGAGATAAAAGATGGTAGGGGTGGGTAAATTAGGGTAAGTTTGTATGTGTGCAACAGAGAGATAGAGTTTAGTGATTAAAAAATTATGGAAAATAGAATAATAAGAAGATAAAAAAAAAAGGAAAAAGGGAAAAAATATACTTTCACATGTATTTAACGCTAACAAAGTTACCTAAAAAGACTAATTATATTTAATTTTGAAACCATAAGGACCGGTGTAACATTTTGGAAATGTCACTTTTTAAAAACCACATGAACGAGGAACCATATGTGAATTTTTTTTTTTTTTTTTTTTCTAAAGAAAAGCTACCACTAGGTAAACAATTTTCATTTTGTGTTCATAAAATACTATTATTCTAATGGTATTTTGTAGAAAAATAAATAATTTGTTATTTATTTGTGACTTTTTTTAAATAAAGATTATTTATAAAAAAAAAATAGTTTCTTAACTATTTATTAAATTAACCCTTTATTAATCGGTGACATATTTAATGAAACAACTAATAATAATAATAAATGAAACATTATATCGCATATTAAATGAGCGTATCTATAGATACATCAAATGCAATTGGTATCTACTTAAAAGAAAAATAATTTCTATCGATTACAATTTTTATGATTATTTATGTATGCTATTATTATTTTCTTAAAATAGTACATGTTCATTAATTTTCTTGTTGGAAGCAAAGGGCCGGGTATGTACGCAAAGGGATTGGACTATGAATAAATGAATGTATTTATTTAAGTTATTAAAATGTATTTGACCTAGCGGTAATGAGTGACTATTTTAAATAAGATGTGTAACATCCTGTTTCGAGAAGTTCTTATTTAATGATTGTGCACAATAAATGGATCAAATGGAGACATTGGGCTTCAATGGAATGAAGTTTAGACTCTATTGGAGGTGTATGATGTTGGACAAATGATTTAAACTTTGGATTGTTTGATGGAAGCTGAGGGGTAAAATGGGAAATGTTATGTTTCGGGCTTCTTGCGTAAATTAATGATTTTAGTTTGAGATGTTTTTAGTCATAAGTATCAAGATAGAATTGTAGAGATCGTCGTTACTTTTACGTGAATATAAAGATCATCGAAAACGGAGTTGAAACGAAGAAGTTATGACTGTTTGAAGTTAAGCTGGAAAAAGGAGTCTGGTACGCTCGGCGTACTAGGTTGAAGGAAATCACGTTTTTAGGTGTTACGTTGGGCGTAACTTTAGGTACGCTAAGCGTACCGCCGTATTGCAAAAACCCTATTTTCTTTGAGCCCTGATTAAGGACTCTAATTTTAGATAATTATGAGACCACATCATATGTTATCATTAAATCCAATTATTATGGTAAAAATATAAATTGTTGATGGACCGATTTATAGAATATTACTTACCATGTGGGTTGAGTTCCCGGTTTGATTCAAGATCCTCAAGATCCCTTCCATCTCTCATATTAGGGTTTATCTCCATCTATAAATACATATGATGAGGAGCAAATCAATACACACGGAAATACATAAACAAATTCATGAGTCTCATTGCTTAGGGTTCTTAGAGGTGGTCTTGAGATCAACTAGAAAATTCAACCCTAGTTCTTCAGATTCGAAGATCATAATGAAATCAGGTATGAATCCTTCATTTTTGTTTAAGTTTCTTTTAACCAGATTCGAGATTAAAGATCCAAAGTTTATGCTTCCACGTTTATGTTTTGGTTATCAAAATAACCAACAATTGATATCAAAGCCTACTCGGATCTGTGAAAAGTTTCTTTTTTGTTGGGTTTAGGATCTCAACAATTTTGTTTGGATAAAAAAAATAACAAATAGAAGGATCATGTGGCTGCCAATTTTCTGCATTTAAAAAAAATAACAAATAGAAGGATCATGTGGCTGCCAATTTTCTGCATTTTCATTCTTTGAACCCTATTATTGATACATTATAAATGGTCGTGGGTGTCTTGGATGTTTATTTGTTTAATTAATTATTCCACGTGATCAAGTAATTTTGAATCAACTATGATTTCTTAGTTTAATCATTTTATTTGATTTTCGGTTGTATACAAAAGTACAAAACCCTCAAGAGGAGCTTATGATTCATCAAAATCATGTTTATTTATCCTCTTCTTTGACAACTTTATTTATTTTTTATTCACACTTTGGTAAAACCCACATAAACAACTGGAAATTATTTTATTACATTATGTAGTATTATATATGACCATTGTTTACCAAAAGGTTTAATGGATCGGTTAAGATTTTTTATTTTATTTATTTTTGTGATCGCTTTATATATGCATCATGATTTAGTAAAATTTTATGACGCGTCTCATGAAAATAGTGGTTTACATATAGATGTTCTAATCTTATGTTCTAGTTTATACATCAATCAAGATAATATTATAATGTTATGTATATTACGTTTAAGTTTAAGTTATATTTATGGATCGTACTTTTTGTTTCTAAAGCAATGTTTCTAAAGCAACCTTGTCTTTGTATTAATGTTTCTACAGCAATCAGCGTAGTAATGTTTCTAAAGCAACCTTGTCTTTGTATTATACGACTATATGGATTGTGTTCGATCAAAGGTACAGTTTGATAAATATTTCAGGTTGCCAATAAATTATATCTATGGCATGTTTATTTTTAGAGCATATTAATTGATACAATATGTCATTAAAATGATCTCTTTTGTGAATATTAATTTACAAGGAATTTAAATGTTATGATTTATGTGTTTATTAATGCAAATATTAATCGACCTAAAGGTAGGTTAATATTTGGCCGGATAAACAAATGTTTGATGATAAATATGCGACTATTTTTAGGTTACATGTCATTAATAAGTCAATCCAAAGAGGGGCTTGTTAATTGACATGATATATTGTCAATACTTATTATCAAAATTTATAGTTTATGTGTTTATTAATGCGCGTATTAGCCAACCCAAAGGTAGACTAATATTTGGCCGAATAAACATATATGTGGTGATAAACATGTGACGATTTTTGGTTTCATGTGATTAATAAGTCAATCCAAAGAGGGGTTTGTTAATTGATATGATTTATTGTTAATGTTTATCTCTAAAACAAGGATATCTCTTGCAAGTTAGTATTACTGTCCAAAGACTTGATATTAATGTTGTGTTGATACCTTGTAACGATGTCATAAATTAAATTTATCGATTACGGTTTATGGATTAATGATCATAAAAATAGATTTGCTTATGTTTGCATTATGGTATTATATCTGCTAACATTGATCACATTTATGATTTATGTACTCAATAGAATGAGGGCATTATGTTAGTTCTCAATTGCATGGATATTGACCAATGTATTTTGGATAGAGCAACATTCTTTGAAGATGTTGAGTTTGGGGGAGAAACAAGGTTAAAACATTGTCCTTAAGGAGGAATCAATCTTGATTCCTATTATTGCTTTCGATAGTATGCAGATTATGAATCAGTCATCGACAATGTTATTCAATCTCCTATTCTGAATACACAAACTCAACAACCTCAACTTTGGATATCCTATGCATGGTACCACATTTTTTCATCAATTTATTATCTCTTTTGGGTTTGAGGTAAATACAGTAGATGATTTTGTGTATCACAGATTAAGTGAGAGTAAATTTATCTTTCTGGTTTTGGTCAGATATCTACGCAACTCAAGTTTGGATCATAAGAAAGCAACCAAATGGATTTGAGATATCTATATATACAAAAAGGCTATATGCTCAACTATAGGAAATTTATATGTTTTTGGAGATCATTTTTATTAAGAATATGATTTTATTAGATGCCAAAATGGTTACTGATCCATATCAGGATACTTTTACATTTTAGCATGATGAGCCAATTCATGGAATAGACTTCAGTAGCTTTTTCCATAATGACAGCATAATTTGTAGCATGGACTATGGTTGCGAAAATTTTTCATGAGGCTACACATTATTGATATTGAAAGACCACTAAAGTTGTGATAATAAGTCAGCAATGTTATATTCCAATAACAGAAGTTCTATTAAGTCAAAGCATATTGACATCAAGTTTCCTTCTGTTAATACAATAGTGCAAAATGGAAATATATATAGCACATATGAACAAACTCCATAAAAGCGGATCCGCTCATAAAGGGATTACTTCCCTAGGTCTTTCATGAGCATACTACACACGTTGGTGTGATATTTGGTTTTAGTAGGACTTTTATGGTGCTTTATGTTTTGTTTAAGAACAATTATGTTTTTCTATAAAGTTACGAATTCGGTTAACTCCATTATTAGTTGCACTTATTTGAAGTTTGATCTCACTTCAATCTAAAGAGGAACTCGTTGGAAATCTATTTAGATTTTAAAACCACACATCATGTTTAATCTATGTCGTTAGTTATATATGTATATGTGACCATTGATAGGTTTAGTTACGTAAATTGTAATGATGACCGCTTTGATCCTATACTATTATGATTAGTAGACGAGATTGTTTAAGGTACTAATGTTATGATAACATTCATTAAAGCGCTTATACAATTATACATACATTTATATATTCATGGTCCAGTGGGAGATTGTTAGATAATTATGGGACCACATCATA